CCTATACCCTTAATCTTTTTTAGTGTCACAGGATCGTATTCGTATCCAAATAACTTATTAATCTTTCTTGCTTTACAAGTCATCACACATAAATATCCATCAGAAATACCTGAAAGATATGATTTCATTTCGTTATAGATCCTGTTTCTTGCAGACTTATCCGTAAGATTTTTATCTCCAGATCTAAACTCTATAACCTTATCTTCATATTTTTCAGAATAGCGACCCCAAGATAAAATTTCTTCTCGTTTTGTATTAATTGAATTTTTTCTAACGATACTTGCCTAATAAAATAAATATGCGAGCTTCTGAAGGTTTTCTGGTATGGATGTGGGACTGGTTATTTCTATAGATTCCCAACATTGATTATTATGCGAGGTAAAGTCTTGTAATAAACCTTGTACGAATTCATTTACTAAAGTTAAATTTTCGGTAGAATTTGTAATACTTTTATATTCCTGCGAGATATTATTAATGGTTTCTGTATTACATGACAATTTTGAATCATCGTTAACATTGTTAATGGTTTTTGTATCATGCGATAAGTTTGAATCTATAGTAGAATCTGTAATACCTTTCTGGACCTGCTCATCTATAACATTCACAATGACTTCTTCCCCACGTGGCAATCTCAAATCTTGATCGTTAACGGTTTCTGTATCATGTGATAATTTCGGATCTTGATCGTTAACAATGTTAACGGTTTCTTTGTTATGTAATAAGTCAGAAGAGCCATCCTGGATAACTGATTCGCGTTTAAGCTTTCTTTCCCGATTTCTTTCTCTTATTTCACTGCTAACAGTTTCTTTATGTACTCGATCACCTTATTTTCCAATGACTTAGTCTCCATGCAAATAGGTTGACATTGTTCAGAAGTGTTTTCAGAATTCTCGATAGAACTGATATTAGCTTTCGATTGTTTGATTTCCTTGATATAATCATCTAATTTAGCAATAAGATTGATCTTTTCTTCATCTTTCTGCTCTAGATTCGTGAATCTGGCTTCATGTTCTTCCAAGGCTTGCCTTAATTTTATATTCTCAGCTTTAACTTCGATATTCTCAGCCTTGACCTCAGCTATCTCACCCATAGCTTCATCATATTTGACCTTAACTTCAGCATTCTCTTTTCTAAGTTCAGCAATTGTGGCAATGAGTTGAGAATCAATTCCTTCAATGAATCAATTTTGGATTGAGGGTTCGACATTACTTTATATAAAAAGCACATTCATTCAAATTGTATAAGGTACAAAGTTAAATTCCTGATTACAGTACCTGATTACCTGATTGCCTGAAAATGCAAACCAATGATAATCAAATTCGGTTCACGCTTCGGATTTCGAATTCTGTAAAAATTTCGGCATTCAAAGTATCAGAGATACCAAATTATTCAGCACGATACAATAATTAAAAAGTCAAATTATATCTTTATTATTTTTGTAAAATGAGCAGGATCTAAAGTACTAATATAATCATTCTTCTTTTTAATATTTCTCTCATAAAACCCTTGTACCGTCGCTTTCTTAATATTTTCTCCCAATGAACGAATGTCCATAGCTACAGAAAGACACATCTCCTACAAAGTATAATTATTTTCGGACATGATCTGATCAAAAATTTGCTTAAATTGAATTGAGTCTCTCGGTTATATTATCG